TTTAAGCCACCGGGTCTGGAACTCGAACCACGGTCGACTACATGGGAGTCCAGCAACATAGCCATTACGCTAACGCTGGTCCCTATACCTGGGATTTTTTAAAGGCTTATATTGACATATACTTACAGAAAATGCATCTACCATAAGTGTGCATGAAATTCTTTCACTTATCTTGGGAGACAGAAATGACTTCTGTTGGGGGCAGACAGGTGGCATGGTGGTTAAGGGCACTGGGCTCCACATGCTGGCTGCTGTCTGAGTCTCGGACGTGGCAACTTGCTTTCTTACTTTCCTTCTCTTTCTCTGGTTCAATAAAATAATAAATAAATAAGTAAAGTTAAATAAAAATAATCCTTTGAAATATGACCTCTGTGTCTTTATATTCATTCTCATTGCCTAGGTAAGACTGTGTAATGTAAATGACATTTCTTTCTTTGACAGTGATTCATTCAAACACATAACAGCCATGTGACGGACACGATGTCACAGCGTGGCTTACTTCCCTTGCAGCGTTCTCTCTGGAGGGTGACAAGCATCGCCTTGGCTTGAGGCTGGCACAAAGCACGTCAGTGGCTGGTGATGGCCACAATTTGGAGTCCAAGAGTCTCAGGGGCTCAGGACCCCTAAGAGTCACAATGAAGGGATGTGGCAGTAAGGCTCCCTAATAGCCCACCCTGGCTTGCCTCTATAAGGAAAGAATAATAGTGAAGATAGGATAATTACAGAAGGGCCAGTGGGTGGCATGGTGATTAAGGTATCTGGATCCACTGGCTGTCTGCATAGTTCGAGTCCCAGACCTGGGTGCTTGAAAAACATGCTGAGCACCTGCACCTGTGTGCCCAAAATCCCCACAGGAGGGAGAAATAGAGGAGAAAGGATTATGGCATGATCATCCCTTGGGTGGAGGGGGGTGCTTCCTCACTTTCTTTCTGTCTCTCTTTCTCATACACATGCCTTCCAACAAAATGTTTAAAATGGGGTGATTGCAGAAAAGTGGGCATTGATTCAGCGTAGCAGGTATACATACCTTTGACTGAAAAGGAGGGGCACATCTTATTACTCCTATTCCTGCTTGTTTGGATTTGCTTTCCAAACTAGAATTCATATTCATGGGTAAGAGTTTTTGTTTTGGGGGCCAGCAATTAGAATAATGGCTATGTCACTGAACTCCCATGTAGCTGACCGCGGTTCGAGTCCTGGACCTGGTGGCTTAAACTCACTCTGGGCACGTGTGCATGTGTGCCCAAGATCCCGAGAGGAGAATGGAGGAGAAGGGATTGCAGCATGGCCATCCCCCCGGGGGTGATTTCTCGCTTTCTATCTCTCTGTCTTTCTGGCAAGCGGATGTGCCCTATAGCAAAAAAAAGAAAGAAAAGAAAAAAGAAAAAAAAACTCTCAAAAAAAAGATTTTTTGGTTTTTGTTTATGGCCTTATGGATTTAATGAACCAAATGAAAACAATCTCCATTCTACATCCCATTCTCTATCTCTAGCTATGATAAAATCTATTCTTAATTTCAAGGTAGAGTTTTGCGTATCCATATTTCTTAAGCCACATCCAAGGAAATCATGTCTTACTAATTTCGAGTGTTGCCCCTTCATCTTGTACATGACGCTCCAGCAGGTTTAATCTTGGCATTTGTCAACTGGTCAAGTCCTTCACATGTTCTTCAACCACTCAAATTTGGAATTCGCAACACTTTCTGTGTCGATAAAATAAGATGTGGAATTCACAAAGTGCAGATTCAATGAAGACCTTTTTTGTTTTTTTTTCCCTTGCCAAACTGGGCTTCTAGATACCATTTGGATGGGGAAGTGTAGATATTTCTTGGCCTGAGTCTCTCAACAGTAGAGATGTAGAAGAGAAAGTGAGATCACAGGGAGCCCGGCTGTTGACTGCAGGGCACTGCCAACAGTGGTGGCATTAGCTGGATTTGGGGCAGCCGAGGGATTCTGGGAGGAGTGACTTGAAAGTGTTATGACAGTTGTTTGATTTGAATAAATCTGCATGGGTAGGAGCAGTGCCAGCAGCAGCAGCCTCAGCCCCAGCCTGGCCACCATCGCTCTGCCCATGTCCACTCTGTCGGGGAGCGGCATGTCTCGCTGGATACCGGTTGCTTTGAGACCCACTGGCTCCAGGGCAGACACAGGCGAGGTCCATATTTTTGGGTAAGACTTTAAGAAAACAGCTTATCTTTTTTCTTTTTTTAACTGCCAGAGATCTCATCTCTTCATCAGAGAGAAACAGATAAACAGAGAGGGAGAGGGAGAAAGCATCTCCCAATGGGGCATGGCCATGCCACAACTCCCTCTCCTTCATTTCTCCATGCTGTTGCATTTGGAGCATACACACACAGGCCCAACATGTTTCCCAGCTACGAGGGCTGGGACTCAAACCTTGGTCAGCCATGTGGGAGCCGGCTCTCTTAACTACTAGGTCATGGGAGCAGCCCAACAGCTTGTTTTGTTTTTGTTTTTGTTTTCTATTTTTTAAATTATTTATTTTTTGTAGGGTGCATGTGCTTGCCAGAGAAACAGAGAGTCAGTGAGAGGGAAAGTGAAAAATCACCCCCAGGGAGCATGACCATGGTGCAATTCCTTCTCTTCCATTCTCCTCCTGGGATTTTGGGCATGCACACACATGTGCCTGGCATAATTTTCAAGCCACCGTATCTGAGAATCAAACCATGGCTGGCCATGTGGGTGCCCAGCAACTTAATTACCACATCACCTGCTCCTCTAACAGCTTATCTTTTCTTTTTTATAAATGAAGAAATTGAATATTTTAAAAATGATTTCTTATTTTGCTACAGAGCTGTTGTTTTGACTAAAAATAGCACCAGCAAATGCAATATATTGCAAAATTAAAATGGTACTGTCCTTCAACACTATACAACTAACAAAAACTGTTCTCTACTCCTAGTTATTTCCAACGGAGAGAAAATGAAGTGTTCTGACCCAAATCCGGGTTGGTTATAAGCAAGGTACAGGCTTATGTAAGACATAGGATAATAGTTATCACTAATGACATAATTTTTATAACTAGTTTGTATCACAGATAGTTTCATGAATTTGAATATTCGAGCCTAGTCTAAGACTCATAGAATATCATGGAAAAGATGCATTTTGTGTTTATTAAGAATAGGATCACTAGGGACCAGCAGTTAGCGTAATGGCTATGTCGCTGGACTCCCACGTAGTCAGCCGCGGTTCGCCTCCTGGACCCGGTGGCTTAAAACTCACACCAGACGTGTGTGCGTGCGTGCCCAAGATCCTGAGAGGAGAATAGAGGAGAAGGGATTGTGGCATGGCCATCCCCCCCTGGGTGGTGATTTCTCGCTTTCCATTGCTCTGTCTCTCTCTGTCTGGCGAGTGCATGCACCCTGTAGCAAAAACCTCTCCCCCCAATAAATAAATAAATAAATAAATAAAACGATCATTAGAAAGTTAAGGGGTGTTTCTTTCCAGTAGCGGTGTTCAGAGTAGTTTCTTTTTCCACTGGTATTACTAAAAGTTGCAATTTTAAGTTTTCTATCAACCACTAATCTAAGACCACTATGCCTGAATTAAGTTGTTTTACACTACTTTATTTAAGGGTTCTACTTTCACTCTTCAATAGACTTTGGGTATTTCTCCTACAAGTCCTCCACTAATTAGTTCGTCCAGTTCTGAAGGGTCATTCAGTGTCACCTTGATCAGTCAACCATCTTCACAAGATCTGTTGACAAGCCCTAGGTTTTCTGCAAGAGTTTTATTAATTTCAGCTATTTCTCCTGCCAGAGGGGAATAGAGTTCACTGGCAACTTTCACACTTGCCAAAGCACCAAACTCATCTTTGTTCAGTTTTGTCCCAACTTCAGGCAGACTACTACAGACTTTGGGAGATGTTTCATTTTCTGTTGCTATCCATTCATGTTTCTCCGTGAATTTATCATGGACAGCAGAGTGGGTCCTGGTCTCGTGCGCAGGATCCTGCCTCTCTCATTGGCCAGGGCAGCTGCGAGCAGGCACGGCGGCCGCCAAGGCCGCGTGCAGGTGCAGGCTGCATGCAGGTGCAGGCTGCAGGCCCCGGCCAGCACGCTCCATGCCGCTTGCAGGACCACGTTTCAGGGCTGCCAAGGGTCACGGCGCCGCTCAGGGTCATGGCGCTGCTCCAGGTTGCTGGGAGCAGAGGGGTGACACAACAGCTTGTCTTATTAAACAACCAGGCAGCACTCTTGTGAATAAAAATAGACTGAGATCCCGGGGTTGTATGATGCCTCCTCACTCTGTCTATAGATGGTATAGCTCTCAGTGCATGTTGGCTTGGTAATGGGAGTTTATTTCCAGGTTATTACTTGTGATTCCAGTTTTAATGTGCACGTCAAAAGAACATTTTGAGAAGTGTCATCGCGGAATGGCATTCATGACGTCGTGAGTAGTCTGTAATTAAGGACGCATGGGGAAGGGTGGTGAGAATGGTGAAGTCGTGCATCTTCTATACTGGGCTGCTACCTGTCTTCCTGTAAGCCTTCGTCACAATTAAAGACTAGACTCAACACTGTGGCAAGTTTTTTACTAACTGCAGACGAGGGGTCCCTCTTTGTCAGCAGTGTCATGCTCATGACGTTATTAATCATAAGTCTTTAGTTTTTACCGAAAACAAATACGGTTACCCAGGTCTCACCCCCAGATCAGGAAATTAGTGTCTCTAGGAACGGGGCCCTGGAATTTGCATTTTACGAAGCTTCCCTGGTGAGCCTGCTGTTCATCCAGGGTGGAGAGCCACAGAACGCATTTGCGAAAACACAGAGATGCCTCAGAGTCTTGAAGAGAAGGTGGGCGCATGGAGGCAGGATGCATGGAAAGTCAGAAACAGTGAAAGTTAAGGTGGGAAATCACTCTCTGGGGGGCATGATCACGTGGGATATTGGGCACACACACACACACACACACACACACACACACACACACACAAACTCAAATGCCTGGCATGATTTTTTAAGCCACCCTGTCCGGGACTCAAACTGTATTTGGCCATGTGGGAGTCCAGCACCATACCACCTGCTGGCCCTGAGGGCACTCTCACTCTGAGCTTGTGTGGCAGTGTTGCAGCCCATGGCGGCGGCTCTGTGCTTCTTGTCTAGCAGCCCTGATGGCTGGAAGGGCTGGGCAGGAGGCAAGGAGGGGCCTGAGGGAGAGGGCTGAGGAATGGTTCCTCACAGAAGGGCTCAAGAGAGGAACTCCAGGTCGTCAGGAAGTTGGGCCATTCAGGTAGAACGTTATCTGCTCTCGGGAAGGCTCGAGAGGAGGAGAGGAGAGAGGGCCTTTCTCAGCTGCTTTTCCTCAGCTCGTGCTGCTGCCTCTGAGGGTCTCTCTCATTCAGAGAGACCCAGAGGCATGGGCTCAAAGGACTGACCTGCCACACTCCCCCAGAGACAGCCATGACAGGATCCCCAAGGACACTCACTTGAGAGATCTCCCTTGGCCCAGAGCCAGTCATCACCCCCATCCTGTCCTCCCACTGGCCCCAAACCCTGGAACCTTCCTAGGCAGAGCCGGAGCAGAGCCAGGAAAATATCTAGTGGGAAAACATCCCAGGCACTGCCTGAACAGTCAAGCACAAAGGTCTCCACTCGGTAGCCCTGCAAGGTGACAGGGATAAAACTGCATTTTAGAGAAAGTCGCCTATGCTCCTCTCCCTAGCCCTGCAGCACCGATGGCCACAGGGGAGAGTGACAGGACAAGCTGAGTCCTGGTGTTGGAATTTCGAAAGCTTGATCCTCAAAGCAGCTGCCAAGAACTCAGGACACATAAAGAAGATTTGGATGATGAATTAGAGAACAAAGGCCCCCCACTTTTCCTCCTAGTAAAAATTCCTTGGGCTGGTGTCACTGGAGAGCAGAGACAGAAGAGATTTCTGGAGTCCTTGAGGAAAGGGTCCTTTTGGAGATTTTAAGAGCCCCTCTGCTCCGGCGTAGGGTCTGAGAGAACAACAAGATGCAGAGTAGAAGGGGCCTCTGGCTGTACATCCCAGCAGACGGCCCAGAACAGCTGCAGAACTTCCTGGGGGCCACAGGGGTACAGGGCCAGGAGCTGGAATAGCCTGCAAGTCCCAGACACAGGCAGGCCCAAAAACGCTTTGTGGGAATGGAGGAGTATCTGGCAGTGACCATACTCGACCAAGTGACAACCAGCTGGGACAGAGATTACTAAGCAGGTGCTGGCACAGATGGTCATGATGACTGATGACCAAGGTCTTACACTACCTAAAACCTCCCTTTCCCCACTGAACTTAACCCCAGGAAAAGGTGTGGATTCCTTTCTTCCACAGAGTGATGTAAGATTCATAATAGAAATTGCGTTCAGCGTTAGAAAAATCAAGTTATGCTTCTTGCAGACTTGAGTTTACAGGGTGAGTTGTACCTTATGTAAGTAATTAATAGATATATCCTTAATGGTTTTGTTATAAATAAAAACATCAAAAAGAAATTTTGGTGGAATAACACTCCACACACAAAAGAAATGCCACTTGCAGCTTTTTTCAAATACAGGATTTTCTTTGTGTCTTTGAATGCAGAAAACGCAGGGATCTTGCTATGAGTTCAGGTCAAATGACTGTAGCATTTTTGAGTGAAATCTATAAAGTTCAAGTTCATGGGTTAGTCCTTTTTTTTTTTTTTTTTTAGTGGTCATTCTCAGAGATCAAATATAAGGCCATCCGTCACTGGGGACCAAGAACACTGTTCATTGGGAAGAGCTAAGGAGTTTTCTGGACAAGAACAGACCCCATTCCAACAGGCGGCTCTGTAAATAACTGCTGCTCCATGGTGACCCTTGGCAGCCCTGACATGACAACACCAGAATAGGAGGGTAGTGACAAAGTGGAGGTTCCCGTGGAGGAAGAACAGCTGCAACTTCCAGTTGCTGGGGACATGAGCCGTAGGGAGACCAGAAGCCTAGGAATCCAGAACTCCTGATTAACCCTGTGGCCTGCTGTACTAGGACCAGTCTCAACCCATGTTGGGGGAAAGGGATATGGGTGGGTGTAGAGCACAGATGGCCCTGATCCCAGTGCCTAATCCCACTAATCCCAGTGCCTCTGGATCAGAGACCTCCAGACTTGACTCAGCTGTTCTTCACCTCATCATGCCACAGTGAACTGGGCATGCCCAAAGGCTTCTTGATGCATAGACAGGGCAAGGGCAATCAGGGAGGCTGAAGAAGCCTGTAGGAAAAGAGAAGGGAAGATGGCGACCAAATAGGGCGGGGAAGTTGCCCTTCCAGTGAGGGAGTCTTGCCATCCACTGCCAAGTAGTGTCCCATCCTTCTGTAAATTTCTAGCAAAATTGCTAGAAAGTCTGAAGTCACTTCACATTCACTGAGACAAGCATGTAGGTTGAAGCTCCCTCCCTTCAGCCTCCATTATTTCTGAGGGTGGGAATTCCATCAACACAGGTTTATTCATTTGCTCCCCTCTGATGCAATTCCCAGCAGTTCCCTAATGGAATTGAATTGTGAGAGAGCAGAATGCCTGAAGTCACATCACTGCCCTTGTCTTTAGCCCAGACTCTGTCCTGCCCTCCTAGATGGCTTCTAAGACCTTAGCTAAGAACAGGACAAAGTGGTGGCCTATGAATTCTTACACATGTAGTCTCCATGGGACTGCTCAGCTAGGAGCTGGGCCACTCCCAACCTGAGTGTCTCCATCTGAGATCTGAGAGCCCAGAAAGACCAAGGGGCTGGTCCAATGACCTAGAGAGGTAGAGCCTACCTGAACCAGAGCTGAACCGGCAAACACGGGATAGGGGAAGATGAAGGCTGAGTCCTCCCTTCCCCCTCCATCTCTCTTCATTGGCTTCCAGATGTGGAAGGTGGCCTGGGAGAGAGGGCTCAGTAGTCTCACGCACCGAGGGCATCGATGCCAGCAGGGCTGAGCACCAGTGCCTGAAGGATGTCGGAGAGGGAGATCACGCCCAGGAGATGTTGGTTCTCGTCCACTAGCACCAGCCGGTGCACCTGCAGGTCCACAGTGTTGAGTTAGAGCAGGGCCAAGAGACTACGGCAGCTTTGGGGGCGAGCACCAACAATCAGGGGATGCAATCTGACATGACTGGGGAGAAGAGGATGTCTCCTGAGATCCAGTTAGAGATGGCTCTGACCACTCTAAGGAGACCGGCTGTGGCTGTGGCTCTTGGCATAAGGGCCTCATGGACAGGACTGAGGTGGACACAGGAGTTGTTCATGGATGGGAAGACAGGTCAGGTGCCCGACGTGCAAGGTAGGCTGGAGTTGTAAATGCTGGCGTGCAAGGAGGGCATCGGGTACCTGCTCCCGTGCAATCCTGTCGATGACTTCCCCCAAGCTCTCGTGGGGCTGGCAGGAAAGGACTCCCTCGAGACACACTGACCTCTGCCTCAGGGCTTCGCCCACACTCATATCTAGGTGGTTGTAGGTTTGCTGGGCAGCCAGGTGCTGGGGCGGGGAGAGACACATGGCTACCAGTCGCCCCCTTGCCCAGACTCTAGCCCCACAGGTATCACCCCTACATGATTGTAAAGATCCCCTGGTTCACAGATACCCCTGTTGTCCCTCAGACCCTCAGCCTCCCCAGGAATCCCCACCTCCCCAGAGATACTTACAATCACATCAAAGCGGGAGTAGAGGCCCACGACCTCACCTGCAAGAGGAAGAAAGATAGAGAAGGATAGAGAAGAGGCTCAGATAAGAACTGGGTGCTGCACAGGGGGCCTGGGGAAGGCTTGTGCTATGGCTTTTTTTGTTGTTTTTTGAAGAAAATTGTTACAATTGTTAAAATTGATAACAATTGTTATTATTGTTAATTTGACCAGAATGAGAGAGAGAGGAAGAACTGCCAGGTCTGGGACTTGAACCACATCAGCTATATGGGAGTCCAGCGCTTTACCCAGCACACCACCTGCCAGCCCCCAGTCTATGGCTTTACAATGAGGAATCAGGCTGCCCCTGCTTCAACCCAAGGATTAAACTTCACATCACAAGCAGAGACAACCTAGTGAGATGCAACTTCAGGACACAGCATCACCTGTGGAACACCCTTGCCTCAAATGCACAGCTGGAATATCGTCAAGCCTTTAGCTGTCATGTCCGGTTTACGGGGAAACACAGATCGAGGAATAAAGTAAAGGCTGCCTTTCAAAAAGCAAATCTGATGATGACGTGTCTAGTATTCTCAACTGGATTGGTCTGAGAAGTATTTCATGATAGGTAAAGTTTTTTTACAAGCAAAATGAGAAATAGTGATTGACTGTTTAAAAAAATAATAATTATAATAATAATAATAATGATTGGGAAAAACATTGAAAAGCTATTGAATGATGAAGTGGAGAGATTAATGTCTCTGTACTGACTGACATGCATGGCATTCCCTTTTGAAAAAGCAATGTAATACACTGTAAAGTTATATGTAATCCAATGTAATATAAAGATTATGATGATAATAAAAATAAATAAATAAATAAATAAATACAAGCAAATCTGAAGGTAGGACATTTTACAGGACAACTAACCCAGGCCTTTCAACTCAACACCTTGGAAATTAAGTGGGAAGGGTACCATTCTAGACTTTTTGAACACATCAACTGCAAAAACAGAGAATTCTTGCAGGAAATGTGGAAATGAGAATAAGGATTATATATAAGAAAAGATTAACAAATTATGATTTTGGCTCTTATAGTGGTATAGACAAATATACTTTGTTTGTATGTGTGTGTGTATAGATTTCCCCCCCACCCTGGGTTTGTCAGAGAGAAACAGATAGAGAAAGAGAGAGAAGAGAAAGCACCTCCATGGAAAATGGTCACGCCACAACCTCTTCTCCTCCATTCCTTCCTCCTTTTGGGATTTTGGGCATGCATGCATAAACACGTGCCTGGCATAACACCAGACCCGGGACCAGAACTGCATAGTCATCTGCAATCCGGCTGCCTTAACCACCAGGCCACAGAGCCAGCCCAAATATACTTATTTTAAAAGATGCATGCTGAGGTGCTTAGGGGTGGAATGACGTGACGTCTATGCTTTAAATCACGTCAGGAGAAAGATGAATGGATTATGGCTCTCCATAGTGGTTCATGCAGAAAATGGATATATGGTGTTCATTATTCAGTTTTTCTACCCTTTTCATACATTTGAAATTTTTCATAATCAAAAGTAAACTTAAGGGACCAGCAGTTAGTGTAATGGCTATGTCGCTGGACTCCCATGTAGTCGACCGCAGTTTGAGTCCCGGACCTGGTCGCTTAAACACACACCGGGTGCGTGTGCGTGTGTGCCCAAGATCCCGAGAGGAGAATGGAGGAGAAGGGATTGCGGCGTGACCATCCCCCTGGGGGGTGATTTCTCGCTTTCTGTCTCTCTGTCTCTCTCTGTCTGTCTGGCGAGCACACGCGCCCTATAGCAAAAATCTCTCAAAAACAAACAAACAGGGACCAGCAGGTGGCGTGGTGATTAAGGTGCTAGACACTCCCACATGGCCAACCAGGGTTCAAGTCCTGAATCCGGTGGCTTGCTTTCTCACTTCCTCTCTCTCTCACTCTCAACCTGTCTCTCTCTGGTCAAATTTTAAAAAATAAATAAAAGAATGAATAAATAAAAATAAAATAATTATTTAAAACAAACAAACAAACAAAATAACAAACAAACAAAAAAAACCTTAAAACACTTTTCGATATTGAGCTTCATTACCTAACTTGGAAATATTTTGCAGTCACAATCCAACCAAAGAAAGTTCCTTTGACTCTTTTCAGAGCAGGAAATTGAAGTCTGGTCTAAGGGTCATGACTCATTTAAGAGGAACTAAAACTAAAAAGCCGCTCTTCTGTTTGCTCTCACTAAGCTCATTTTGTTGCACAAGTTTTTTTTTCTTAAGGGTTTCTCTATAGAGCACATGCACTCTCTGGAGAGAGAGACCGAGACAGTGAGGAGGAAAGTGAGCAATCACCCCCCAGGGGAATAACCACATCACAATCCCTTCTCCTCTACTCTCCTTCTGGGATTTTGGACATGCATGCACATGGGCCTGGCATGATTTTCAAGCTGCCAGGTCTGGGACTTGAACCCCAGTCAGTCATGGGAGAGTCCAGCCACCTGGCATAACCTCTATGCCACCTGCTGGGCTCACACATAAGCTTTTAAATCCTCCTGTGAAGCTAGAAGGACTGGTGCTGTTGAAATCCACATTTCAGAGCCAGTAGATGGTATTGTGGTTAAGATTCCCACATGGCCGACCATGGTTCAAGTCCCAGACCTGGTAGTTTGAAAGTCACGTATGCGTTCATGCCCAAAATCCTGAGAAGGGAATGGAGAAGGGATTGCAGTGTGGCCATCCCCCTGTGGGGTGATTTCTCACTTTCCTTCTCTCTGTCACTCTCTGTCTTTCTCCGGTGCACCAGCCCTATGGCAAAAACGTAAAAAAGTAAAAAATAAAAATAAAAAAATTCACAAAGAGGAAACTGAGGCAGAGAGACACTAAATAACTGGTTTAAGGCTCAAAGCAGGCAGAGACCTCTAAACCCTTGGACCCTCAAACTGATGCCACGTGACCCCTGCCTCCTTTGCCTTGTCCCATGCTCTCCTCACAGGGCCCTTCCACACCCACCCCGGTCACAAGTACCAGACTCGTTGACCACAGGCAGAGCAGACACGCGCCGGTCCACGAAGATGTCCAGCGCCGTCAGGACGGGCGCAGTCTCCAGCACCACCGCCAAGTCTCGGAATGTGCCGATGCCCAGGTCTTGGATGGTGCGGTAGAGGAAAGAGGGCCGGGGCAGCAGCGCACCCTGCTTGCGTAAGGATGGCGTAGCGGTCAGGGGCGAGCAGCTCTGAAAGCTCCCGGCTCCTCCCTCCCCAGTCCCTTGGCTGAAAGCCCCCTCAGCCCCTCTGCTCACCTCCCCGTGGCTCCCCTTCCTCCCACCTGGGCCCGGGCTCACAAAGATGTGCAGGAACTTGAGCAGGCGCTTGTGCGTGAGGATGTGGAGCACTGTGCCTGAGACCGGGTCCAGCACCGGCAGGCGATGGATCCGGTTCTTGATGAGGGCATAGACGGCCTCGAACAGGCTGCAGAGGTGGGAGCAGTGAGCCTGGAGGTACCTGGAGAGAAACGCCCTCCATCCCTGCCCCCTAAGAAGGAGGACAGGGCACTAAGGCCGCCTAGCGCGAGGAGGCGGGTTCAGGGCCGTCACCAGGGAAGCAGAGGTACAGGAAAGAGGTTCAGATGGGGCTAGGTGGGTACCTCACCTGTCACTGGGAGAGATGGAGACCAGAGGTTTGAAGCAGCCTTGAAGATAGATCTCTGCAGAGAACGCTGGAGTCAGGCCCAAGGAGCTGGCTACCGCTGTACCCTGGAGCCCCAGCCTGCTGGCCTGCTCCCACCAGGAAATCCCCAGGGCCCATCGCCCCACAGGCCCTTTGCCCCACCCTCATGCAACCACCCCTCTCCTCGCTCACCCCTCCAGGTCTCGATTTTATGTTCTTCAATCTCATAGATCTGGACCTAGAGACATCCACAGCAGTCCAGAATGAGACATGTCCCCCTTGGGCACCAGGTACCTTGAAAATCCACTTGCCCCATCCCACCTACGTGCCCCAGGGATCCCAGCCCACTCCTCACCAACGGGGACCTGTAATAGCGATGCAGCACCAAGATGAAGTCTGTGATGGTCAGCATCCCTGTGGGGTGGGCAGGGGAGGTCAGTTTCCGGCCTCTGGGAGGGGGTCTGACTCCTCCCACACCCTGCCTGTCTCTCCTGCTGGTTGGACAATGGGGCAGCCCCTCCTGTGCTTGAGCAATGGGCTCTTCCCTTTAATGCTTCTCCCTGTAACTTCTCTCTTCCTTTCCCTTTCCTCATTTGTGACCTGGCATTTCTGGATGGAACCATAGGTGGCTGAGCTGGAAGGGGTTGGCTGGTCACCACTATTCCATAGGAAGGAACACCAGACCCTGTGTCTCCCAACTGGCTACTGCAAGCCCCAGGAGTGGATCATCCCACATTCTGGCCCCTGACTTGGCTCAGCCATAGGGTTTGCTCAAGCTCGGGGCATGTCAGAGTTCAGCCTCAGAATCACTGTGCAAGGTCCCCCCTTGCTATCCCCAGTCCCCACCACCTCCCCATCCTCTCTCACCCACAAAGCTCTGCTTCTTGCTGTCCCACAGAGGTGCCGCCCGCACACCATTGGCCACCAGGGCGAAGAAGGCCTTCTTGATCTGAGGGGTAGGAGAGAACAGTCGAGGGGGGAATCTCAAGGGGCCCTCCCCCTTCTCTCAGTGAGCACTGCCTCCCTTCTGCCTGCTGTGTCTTCTGTTATCCCAACCAAAGTCCTTTCATGAGAGCTTCTCCCCAGTCCTCCTCTACGTGAGCTTGCCTGTTTCTCATGCCAGGGCACGCACTGGACCAGGTCACTGTGGGGCACATCAGTACCTAGACAAGGCTGCTTGTGGCCAGTCGCTCAGAGGGACCCTGGCCAGGCACACAGGGTGTTCCCATCTGCCGGTCACGTGTGTCCAAACACAGACTCATTTCTGCTACTCTAAGTACTGGAGCTATACGTATTTCATAACTGCATAGTTACCAATGATTTCTCCAAATAAATTTTGACTGATTCATTTTGAGCCTCACTATAAACAGTACTAGCTATTCATGCTGGTTGTAGTTTTCTAACACACAGTAAAATAAATACAAAGCTGGGGTCCGGTGGTGGTGCAGCAATGAAATCTGACAAACGCTAAGCATTCCTACATGGGGAGTCTCCTGGTTCAAGACGGTCCAGAGACCACCCTGAGTACGCGGGGCACGAACCTGCCCATGACCCAGCTGAAGGCTGGGGGTGGATGGCAGAGTCAAGACCCTACTGGGGGTGCTGTCTCTCTCTCTCTCTCTCATCTTTCTCACTCATGGAAGAAGTAAAAATAAACTTTAAGGGGCTAGCAGGTGGCATACTGGTTAAGGTGCTGGGCTCCCACGTGACTGACTACAGTTCAGGTCCTGGACTTGGTAGCTTGCTTTCTCACTTCTCTCTCTCTCTCTCTCTCTCTCTCTCTGAGTCTCCTTTGGTCAAATTTTTAAAAAATAAATAAATAGATAAATGAATTAAATTTTAAAAATAAACTTTAAAATAAATAAATAAATACAAAGCTACTGAGATATGTGTATTTGCTCATGCACTCTAGAATCACATCATGCACCCTGGATGAAACATACACCGTGGTCTGGGACACACTGCTCCACTGTAATGACCACCAGAATAGAATCACAGGGCTGGCAGGTGGTGTGGTGGTTAGGGGCACTGGATTCCCACATGGCCAACCACGGTTCAAGCCCTGGACCCAGTGGCTTGCTTTCTCACTTTATTCTCTTTGCTCTGTCCCTCTCTGGTCAAATTAGATATGTAAATAAAGCTAAATAAAATAATAATAATAATAAAGAATAGAACCACGGACGCTCCAGCCTCATGGAAGAGCAAGTACCAGAGCTCGTCCCGTTTTTCTCTTGCCAAGAGTCCCTGGACTCTGCCCCAAGCAGCTCTGCGATCCCTGACACACACAGCACGGCTCGTAAAGCACAGTCATCTTACGCTGGGGTGTCCCAAGAGTTTCCAGAACACGTACAACGAGACAGGAGCTCCAATGCCCATTTTAGAGATGAGGGAGGTGCAGGGACAGACCCGACGGCCTATAGACACTACGTGGCAGAGCTATGATGACAGACAGAAGCCCAGGTGGGGCAGAGCCATGACCTCACCTCCAGTGTCGTGTCAAAGATGACCAACTTGGAGCTGGTTGCCATGGCATCATAGCAGGTGTGCTCCTGCATGAAGTGCATGTAGACCTGGGCCCCAGGCTTCTGCAGCTCATCGTCCCAGCCCGACTTGAGCAACGGGGCCTGTGGGGATGGGCACGGGGCAGGTCTTTCTTCCACCAGGCCTTCGAGCTCACACGCCCAGCCTTCAGTGGCCGGGAACTCTATGGCTAGTTCCAGATCATCTGAGTCGGAGGCCGCAGCTGAAGCTGCACTGTCAGGTGGGAGAAAGTCCCACCCTGTTGCGGGGGTGCCCACCCCTGCTAGAGGTGTGGCTTCGGGGAATGTGGCTTCCAGCCTGGTGGACTCAGCAGCTGGCCTGGACCGGGGACCTGTTGGGGGTGAAGAGGAGAAGACAGTAACTCCATCTTCCAAAACACTTGCTCATCTGCTGTCTTGGCGAACACGCAGCAGCCTCAGGAAACCTGGATGCTGCGGCTCTTCTCACAGCTGGGAAGCTATGTCTGACAGTCACACCACAGAGGCTCTGGGCTCCCAGCTCTGCAATGTATGGGGAGACTGAGGTCACAAGGTGAGGGTTCAGTCACCTCTGTGTCATGGAGGATCCAGGGTAAGGTTCTGGAACCTCCCACTGCCCAAGCCTCTACCCCCCAGAACTGGCCGTGGCCTCACCTTCCCCTGGGCCTGGCGGCTCTCCTTCCTCCACAGCCTCCTGCCTCGTCCATCGTGAGGCCTTGGCCCTCCGTTTGCCACGGATTCTTTCTGAGCTGGTGGTCATGGCTGGTGCTGGCCATGAGGTGCTGTCTCCCTGCTCTAGGCAGTTCATCTCTGAAAGAAGGAACAGGGAGTGTTTGTAGGTGCCATAGTGGTTAAGACACGGGACTCTCACATGGCTCATTGCCATTCGAGTCCTGGACCCGGTGGCTTGAAACTCATGCCGGGTGAAAGTGTGTGTGTGTGCCCAAAATCCTGAGAGAAGAATGGAGGAGAAGGGACTGCAATGTGGCCATCCCCCACCCCTGGCGGGGAGGATGATTCCTCACTTTCTCTCTCTCTGTCTCTCTCTCTATCTCTGATTAGCACACACACACACACACACACACACACTATAAGAAAAATCTCTCTTAAAAAAAAGTAATAAAACCAAGTAAAATATCAGTAATAATATTTAATATTTGCAAGCTCTCAGTGGGCTTTTCTCCAACCTATTTCTCATTCAACACTCAAAGCAGCCATAGACAGGAGGCATGTTTTCATTCCCGTTCTGCTAGTGAGTGGCCAAGAATTCAGAGAGGTAAAGCCATTTGCCAAAGTCACACAGTTGGCAAGTGGTAAGACTGAGACTGGGGTCTGAGTGTCCAGACCCCAGATCCTCCTTCTCAACTTCTGAAAAGAGGAAAGAGGAGGTGAGGGAAACACAGCCAGGGAAAGGCGGGAAAAGACAACCAAGGAGGAAGGGAAAGGAGGGGAAGACAGAAAGCTGGGCTGGGGGTGGGAGGGAGCCGGGGTCTCACCCGCAGAGGGAGTCTACCTACCTTGATGCTCAGGCCCCCCAAGGCTGCCCCAGGACAGGGTCTGCAGGGAGAGGAATTGTCTGAGGTTGTCTGAAGGCGTGGAGATGGCGCCTCACCATGGCTCTGCCCCTTTTCACCACAAATACACACACACACATTCAGACACACAAACATACACACATGGCCACACATGAGCACCGAATCCCACATATAAACACACACTCACATGGCCACATATACATTCACATGCTTCCAGAAATATATATCAACCACTCCCAGACGCACTTATGACCACACACTCACGTACGTACACACAGAATATACACACACAGACACTACATGCTCCATACACAGAGGAAATCATGACCAAACACACCAACGAATGCACACACACAGCACGCACACGTTCACGCGGTGTGCTCCCAGTCCTCTGGCTCAGCTGCCTCCGCCCCAGCCCCCCTGGGACCCCCGTACCCTGCGTGGGGCGTGCTCCAGCTCAGGCTCCATGTTGCCAGCCCTGACCAGCAGGCAGCAAGTGCGCGACACTTTGGCTGGGCTGCACTATTCTGGGCCCTGCCCCTGGCCCCCTGCCAGCCCAGATCGGTTTCTCTCTGATTGGGTGTCAGGCAGCGCGGAGGGAGGGGTCCATCCACTCCCCCCTCCCAGCCCAACAGCCTGGGGGCGGGGTGGGTGGGGAAGGGGTGTACCTGGAATCTTGATGCCTCCTGGGTCTCCAAGGACGAGCCAGAAGGACCCTGCTGTAGGGGGAAGTGGCTTTGCAGGGCCTGGGCGCCGAATGGTCGGGTCCCAGATGTCCTGGGTTCCTACTCCAAGGGCCTCTCATCTCTGTCAAGCTCTAAAGGAGGAGGATGAAGAGTGAAGCTGGGCTTCACTCTCTTCCTTGAACACATGTCAGCAGAGGGTGGTGCTGGAGTTAGGGAAGACAAGTTGCAGCTCTCTCGGAGGCTGGGACTAAGACAAGGGTCTTGTGGGCGGTCCGGGGAGAGCAGCGCATGTATGTCCAGGTGTCTCCATTTGAGTCTGTGGAGCCTGCCCTTCTCCGGAGTGGAGGAAGTGGAGCACAGATGCGGGCAGGTGGGGTCCTGTGAGGTGGGGGCACAGGAGCCCCAGCACCCCATCTCTCTGTGCGTGCCGTCCCTGTTCCCCCTGGTGCCAAAGGATCCGAGGCTGGCTCTGGTGGCTGGCCCACCCCTTCCTTGGCTTCCCTGGGCGGGGCCTGAGTCAACGTCTAAATCAGGAATGCTGACCCAGCCGCTCCGCTCCCCTCGCCCCTCCCTTTCTCTCCTCCCAGTCTCTTCCATCCCAGCCCCTGGCCCTGGAGTGGACACTCACAAATGGATTGCTGGATTTCGTGCTGAACTTATCCAACGTATTTCTCATCGCTCCTGAAAGCACCTGCACTGCCCTGGGGAGGGTGCAGAAGACAGACAGGGGGCTTCGCCTTTTCCTGAGTATCTTGGGGAGCACAGGACCCTTGTGGCCCGTCCCTATTTGGGCCCAGATGATGGGACTTCCAAGGCACAGCTGACAGGGACCATCCCTGGTGACATGCGCTGCAGTGGACCTAGATGGCCCCAGGGCCATCCAAATCCCACCCGCTTTGGCCTCAGGCCACTGTCCCAGCCAGGTCAGATACAGACTCAGGTCACACCATCACCTTTTCTTTCTTCTTCTTTTTATTATTTATTTTAAAATTTTGCCATGAGTCCTGCGTGCTCTTGGAGAGAGTGAGAAAAAGAGAGAAAGGGAAAGTGAGAAATCACCCCTCGAGGGGATGATTATGCTGCACTCCCTTCTCCTCCATTCTCCTCTTAGGATTTTTAAGCATGTATGCTCACATACCCAGCGTGTTTTTCAAGCCGCCAGGTCAGGGACGCAAATGATGGAGTCAGCCATGTGAGATCCAGTGCCTTAACCACTACCCTGCTGGCCCACCTTCTCCCGGCAGGACCAGTAGCAGGGCCTCTTCTTTCAGAAAGCCCACCCCGATTGCATTGCCTTCGCCGCACCAGTCTCTGTAGCGCACACCCTGGGTGCTCACCTCAGTGTAGAACGGGGTCGCTATTCCTGCCACTGTCTCACATGCGAATATCCGCTACCTGCAGTTAAACTGTGGGTACCTTGGTGGCCAAAATGCATTGACTGGATGAGATTGCAAAGTCTGTTTGGTGGTCATTCAGATCTGAATAACATTCACGCCCAAGCCCAGCCACTGTAGCATATGCTGGTTGACGTTGCTCCTGGGCAGGCCAAGGCCATCTGAGGCCCAGGTTCAACTCTGGGCCCACCCACACATGCTGTAGTCCCAGCCATTCCTGAGCTTGAGGTGGGAGGATTGTGACACAGTGAGACCCTGTCAAGAAAAAAAAAGGGGGGGGGGCAAACAGGTAGCACAGTCGATGGCAACCTGAGCAGCAGTGTTGGAATCCACAGGGCTGACTGTTCAGATCCCCCAGTAGGCTTGAAAACATGCTGGGTGTGTGCCTGCATTCCCAAGGTCCTGATAACCTGGAGGCTGAGGGGAGGAAATCGGTGTGACGAGGCCTGGCTGAGGATGTCCCTCTCTCCCTCTCTCTCTCTCTCTCTCTCTCCCTCTCACTCTCTCGTGCTCATACACTCACTTTCATGAGTAAAATACACTTTTAAAAAATTAGGTTCTGCAGGGGCCACAGGTGGCGTGGTGGTCAACGGCCCATATGGCCCACCACGGTTCAAGTCCTGGCCCCGGTGACTTGCTTTCTCCCTTTCTCTCTCTTCCTGTCTCTGATCAAATTTAAAATAATGATAATAATAACAACTGGAATTAAATAAATAAATCATTTTAAAAAGAGTTATTTTAAAAATAAATAAATAAATAGATAGATAGATAGATAGATAGGTTCTGCCCTCTGCTTGCGATATGACCTTGGAAAGTGTTGCTTGTTTTCCCGGAGCCTGTTTCCATAAGTATAAAATGAGGACGTTCTGGACGTCAGACAGAACGAGGGGACGCAACGGAGGCAGGCCAGAGCCGCTGCCGTCGCCATGACCCGCGGTAACCAGTGTGAGCTCGCCGGCCAGAAGATTATGAAAAAGCAGAGCGACTCGGTTAAGGGAAAGCGGCCAGATGACGGGCTTTCTGCTGCCGCCCGCAAGCAGAGGGACTCGGAGATCAGGCAGCAGAAGCAGAAAAAGGCAAATGAGAAGAAGGAGGAACCCAAGTAGCTTTGTGGCTTCGTGTCCAGCCCTCTTGCCCTTCGCCCGTGTGCCCGGAGTCAGTCCCACCGCGCTCGCGTGTCTTCCCTTAGTGCTCACAGGTCCCAGCACCATGGCCTTCCCTTTGCCCTGAGTCTGCAGCGGGTCGCTTTTATGCTTCCTTCCCCTCAGGTAGCCTCTCTCCCTCTGGGCCACTCCTGGGGGTGAGCGGGTTACCTCTTCCAGTGTTTTTTACTCCTGTGGGGCTCACCCTGAAGTATTAAAAGTAGCTTTGTAATCCCCCCCCAAAAAAAGAGGACATTCTGTGGCATAAACTGCAAGTTGCCCCCCAGTAGCTGTCTCGTTTTTTCCTTCTAGTAAAGGAATCACCTGAATTTTATCTGGAATGGCTGCCCATATGAAAACAGATTCTCACCATTCCTTGGAGCTAAATAAGGTCTCGTGACTAAATTTGGTCAGTGCAATGTGAGTGGAAGCCATGGGAGCAAGTCCAGGTCAGGCCTTAAATAAACAAACAAGCAAACAAACAAACAAACAAAAAACATGAAACCTGAGTTCCTTTTCTCCTTTTTCCTTTCAATCCACCTTCAGTCATGGCTGATGTGATGACAGGAGTGAAAGCAGCCATCTTGCACCCAAGAGTCACCCTAGCAGCTTCAGATTGTCTGCAGACTATTACATGAACGAGAAAGTCACTTTCTTGTTTAAGACATTCTTTTTTTAAAAATTGCCAGAGGGTGCATGCACTCACTGGAGAGAGACAGAAAGAGGGGGAAAGAAAGCACCTGTCCGAGGGGGCACGGCACGCCACAATCTGTTCTCCTCCATTTCTCCATTCTGTCAGGATTTGGGGTATGTGTGCACTTGGGCCAGGTGTTTTACAAACCCCCAGGGCCAGGATTCAAACTGTGGTCAGCCATGTGGGATCTAGCTCCCTTATCTACTGGCTACAAGACTTGCCCCTAAGACGTTCTTAAACTGGGTCTTCCTCACAGCAGCCAAACATGTATTTTCCTAAAAGTTTTTCTGGCATATGGCACATGCACTTGTCAGAGAGAGAGAGACAGAGAGAGGGAAAGTGAGAAACCACCCTCCAGGGAGGATGACCATGCACCATCTCTTATCTTGCATTCTCCTCTTGAGATTTTGGGGATGCAGATATGTGCAAACACCCCATGATTTTCAAATTGCTAGGTTCCGATGGCGGTCTGCTACGTGGGAATCCAATGCTTTAACCACCACACCACTGGGCGGCCCGACCAAATGTGTACCTTAATGCAGAATTTGGAATCTGGAATCTGGAAGCAGTGCTACCTTAAAAGCCTAAAACGAGTGGCATTGGTTTAGAAATTGAACAGCAAGGAGAAAGGAAAACGACTGCATGCTGGTAAGTTGGTGACCACCGCTGTGTTGCAGCAAAACCTAGCGGATGTCTGTCACCTGTGTTGTCTTGGAAGTAGGTCATACGCCAACGGAGCCTGTAACCCATGGAAACTGGTTGGAAACACTCAGACTGTTGGAGTGTGTTTGCTGCTATTGCAGAGTTTTTAAAGAGAGATGCCCTCGGGCTAGCTCTAAGAGCGGCTTGGAAGAGGTGGCCCCTGCAGGAACTACAGCTGTGGTCTCAAGCCATTCTCAAGCACATCCTGTTTACCAGATAGTGGGAGCTGGCAAGTGGGCAGACAAAAGAATAAGGGAGTTCCCTTGGGCCAGAAGGTAAGGTGGTGCTTACGGCACCTGGGTCCCACTGGCTTAATATGTGATTTGAGTCCCGGACCCAGAGACTAGAAAAACATGCCAGGCATGTGCACATGTGTGTCCAAAATCCCGAAAGGAAGGAGAAGCAGGAGAGAAGGGATTTGTGACATGACTGGCCCCCACAGGGAATGCTTTCTCACTTTCCCTCGCTCTGTCTCTTTTCTGGTGAGTGCATGCACTCTATGGCAAAAACAAAACAAAACAAAAAATACATAAGGGAGTTCCCTTTACAGACAAGCATATTTTCCCAGATGGCCTCCAGATAGCCACTACCAGTTAGAGAGAAAGAGCAGGAAGAACACCAGGTCCAGGGGATGCAAGCAAAACACGAGGTGTGCATGAGACCATTGGCTGCCATCACTTGGACAGGAAGCCAATCAGAAGTCTTCTAAGATTCCGAGGGTATGGTGTTGGCCAAAACGCCTGGTTTGACACCCTCCCATTATCCCCCGCCCCTAAACCTGCCTCAGCAGGGGGAGAGCTGCAAAAACAGCAAGATCCGCAGGAAGGACATGTCCTCCAAAGTGGCCACAGAGGATGCTGGGAGAGGAGGC